GAGTTAATGACAGAGAATGTCAGTGTAAGAACATTATCTAAACCTTATTAATTAATTAATGAGTATTCTTGTGAAAAAGAACACAGGCCGTCATAAGGCCCAGGGTCCTAGAACTAACTCCTGTCTTGTTAAATGATCTGGAGAAAGTAATTAACTCTTCTGTTCCTTTTTTTTTTTTTTTTAACTGAAGAACTAGAATGAGAACATAAATCTTTTCTGTGTCTTGCAAGGCATTGTGAAACACCAAAAAGGAAGGACAATCAGAAAAATTATGAACCAGAACATTAAAAGAATAGTAGAAATTATTTATTTAGTAGTTTTGATTGGTCTTTAGTTGAGAAACAGCTGAAAGTGTTGAACTAGGTACCCTGAAAAGAAAGGAGATGCATGAAATGTATTTTTCACTTACTGAACACAATTGGTTTTTGTGATCTTAGTGTTGTATAATCTGTTTCATTATTGAGAAAGTGGCTTCAGCTCCTTTGAAAAAAATTCCAGATAAATTAGTGGGTTTGTAAAGTTTATTTTAAATATTATGTTATTTTAAAAAATGGATGTGAAGTACTGTAATAAGATTGTCTTTATTTTCCTATGGATTAGTTTTGTGAGTGATTGAATGACTCATTAGCAAACTAAGATTCTACTTTACAGGAGTATTTTGAGAACAAGCTTAAGAATGTGTAATTTCTTAAGAAAAGGAACTAGGGATCTTTGAAGAAATGTCAGAGTCCTGGACTGGGGTGGGGGAAAGAAAGTGCGAGATAAGCCAGTAAGTAAGGAAGTCTTAAAAAAAGAAAAAGAAAAAGATGGAGTATGTTGAAAGCGCACATGTGCTAACTTGAAGGAGCTCCCAAGAGCTATATCTGGAACAATTTGAGCATCAGAAATAATGACTGTAACAGATTACAATTTATGGAATAGACTAAATATCTGTGAGTCAGTGTTTATATAAATAAATATTTGAATAAATAAATGAGGGAGAAGGAATAGCTCTTGCTTACCTAGAATTCTAATTAATAAATATGGAAGGAATAACGGAAGTAAAAATATCATTGTTTGGCAAACACTAGAGCAAAGGTTGTGGACCAGACCCCCCTGTGCACGCTAAAATTAGCCGGTGGAAGTATGATAAGAAGCAGAATATTTGCATAGTTTTAAAATATCTCTTCATAAGATACTTAATAATTTCAAAGAGAAAAATACTAACTTTACAGTGGAAATACCACAATAGACAGGTTTTCAAAGTTAACATCGTCTGTAATGAGCTATATCAATAGTATGTTCCTTCTGATAAAATGCTCTGAAAAGGGTGCAAATCATGTCTATGAGTTTTTTCCTCATTGTTTTAAATTATATATTTTATTTTCAAAAAATAAATTCACTTGCAGTTTTTTAATTGAGGTATAATTGATATACAGCATTATATTAGTTTCAGGTATACAACATAATGATTTGATGTTTGTATGTGTTGCAAACTTGTGACCATAATAAGTCTAGTTAACATTTGTCTTCATACATATAGATTTTTGCATGTGATAAGAACTTTTAAGATTTATTTTCTTAGCAATTTTCAAATACACAGTACAATATTATTAACTATAGTCACCATGCTGTACTTTACATTCCATGACTTATTTATTTTATATGTGGAAGTTTGTACCTTTTGACTCCCGTCACCCATTCTATCCACCCCCCACCCTCTGACCCTGGCAACGACCAGACTGTTCTCTGAATGGATGAGCTTTTTTAAAAAAACCAGAAGTGGAATTGATGGGTCATACTCTAGCTAGTTCCTCCTTTCACTCTCCCTCTGCTTTGCTCTTCTCTAAGCCTTGATTCTCTGTAGTGTCTTTTCCATTTACAGATTTAAGTTTTAAAAGTTTTTTCATGCATTTATTTCTTTAAATAATGTAGTATGCCCTTAGTTAAGAAGATTGTTTAGAGACTGGCATATATTAATTACTGAATTTCCAGGCTAGGTGTCCAGAAACCTTTTGTTTCAGTCCTTGCTATTGCAGAAGTGTGTTAGTTCGTTTTAGTCCCTTAGTAAATACTGTAGAGTGGACATAACTGAATCTCTCTGCTAATTCAGGATCTTGTGCTTCCGGGCTGTTGTTGTGGCCAGAGCATAGTGTACACAGGGTGGAAATGATTGGGGATTGGAGCAATGCACTAACCCCTCTGAACTCTTTACAAAACCAAATCCTTGACCTGAATTTGTTTGATTATTTAGGTGTTTATAAGCAAATTAAACAATATAGTATTTATGATAATATTTGAAATATGTTTACTAAACTTTGTTTCTCATCTGGCTATCTTTACTATTCTTTTCCTTCTCTTCCTTCCTTTTTGCGTTCGTATCCCTCATGACCGCATACCAGGCTGTCTCCCCAGCTCTAAGTAAGCACCTCTCATAGGTGTGACTTGTAGATGGGAGCGGAATCTGGAATGCAGTCTTCCTTTTCTTTCCAGCTGCACTTCAAGGAAGAAAAATAGAGCTTTGGGGGGAAGCAGGTTAGAGAAAAAAGTAGAAGAATCAAGAAAAGAGAAAGCAAAGTAATGAATTATGGAGAGGCACAAAGGAGGTGGGTTGGGGGTTAAGAGAGATTAGGTGAGGGTGGTTAGAGACATCCCAAAGTCATGCTTCTCTATTGCTTCCGTCTTTGGACTGAATAAAACCGTGACCCCTCTGGGTCTGAGGATCAATTGCCAGGAACCTCCTGTAGCTGTGTCAAGTAGGTAACTAACCCAGAGGTCACTTGGGCTGGAATGAACTTAATTAGCATTCTGCAGCAAACGTCTCTTGAGTGCCTACCATCTGCAGCCACCTGAATTCAAAAACCATTATTCTAATACTGCTTACAAACAGAAAAGACCAAACCTTCATTCCAGTTGTTTTGTTCACTACTCTCTGGACAGAAGGGAGTAGTCCCCCCATTTCTCCAGGTCCCTTCTCTGTCTCCTGCCTGGACAGTCTTTCTCAGATCCTGGGGCTGGTGGTTGCAGGTCTCCGTCCTTTCCCTTCAGCTGATACGCCTGTCTGTAATGCTTGGAGGGAGAGGGCCTACTGTGCCAAACTGTTAGACCTTTGCCTGACAGGGAGTGACTGGTACCCTGTTTTATAGGTAACAGAGACATGAAGATACCTGGTATATTTTAAACACTGTTTCCCAGGCAGGTATGATAGGTTCATAAATACCTATCTTCTCACATGTATTTTTATCAGCCTGTAGGGTTTGTATGATGTATGGCCAGGCTGAGAAGCGACCTGGAAACCCAAAGCCTTAACATTTTCAATGTACCTTTTCCATGTATTACTCCAGAATCAAGCTGAATATATTCTAAGGTAATTTAGTTACAAAAAAATTGTAGCATTTAAGCGTACCCTTTTTTTTTTTTTTTAAACAGAAGTTAAGAAACAGAAGTAAAAAATACAGCCAGGCTTGACGGATCTATTACTGATGTTGCACTGTTTGTGGCTTAGTTTGCTGCTCACATTTCTGATCTGAAATTGCTCTTCTGCTAATTGATTTATTTAAACAATCTAAGGTAGTTTGCATTCTAAATGCGATTCCTATCCTAGAATTTTCAGTCTGACCAAGAAATAGAACCGGAGGAGCAGGTGTCATACACAGTGAGTGGTTCAGCCTGCATCATGACGATGTCATAAATCAGTGGTTCTCAACCAGGGTGATTTTGCCTCCCAGGGATTATGTGACAATGTCTGGAGACATTTTGATCATCAAGCCTGAGGGGGAAGTACTACTGGTATCTAGTGGGTAGAGGCTAAGGATGCTGGTAAATACGCTACAATGCATAGACAGCTCCTGTACAACAAAGAATTATCTTGTCCAAAATGCCCATAGTGCTTAGGTTTAAAAACTCTGTCATAAATATGCACAGCAGGTATGGTATGGACGGACTGGTAAATCAACTGCATTAGGAAAATCCCAAGGTGATGCCCATAATTGTGGCCAGTGTCTGTGGGTTTTTCTGTTTTATTTTCTTCCAGATTTTTATTTTGAAATCATTTTAGATTCATAACCTGAGTAATTTTCATCTCTATCCCTGTTTCCTTAGCACTTTATACATGGGAGGTTTTACTGAATGTTGAATGAAATCAAAGAGAAGGAGAAAGACCCATCAGGAATAGATCCATTTAGGTCTCACTTTCATGCAGACTGTGAGAATCACCAGGGGTTCAGAGCAGAGGGGATGGTTTGGAGATAAGCTGCTTGGTTTCCTAGAAACTTCCAGCAAGTTACCTACCCCTGCACCTGCCTGTTTCCTTTGCTTCTGCCTTAGGTTGATAAGTGCCAGTGGAGTTGGTGTTATGGAGGATATCTCCTACTTAAGACACTGATGAGCTTTGTCTTGCAAGAGATCATTTCACACCCTACTCCATACCGCAGCCATTGGGAGTGGCGAGCACATTCCTGTAGGCTATCACTTTTAAATGTGTGTATGTATATTCTGATTAAAACAGAGAAACCTAAAGTCAACGTCTTCTGTAATTCTGAAAATAAATTGATATATATTCTTCCAGTTGGTAAATGTATGTATTAACATATAATTATTAACAATAAAAATAGAATTATAATTTTATCATATATGATACTGTTTTACAGCTTGTGTTTTTACTATGTTATATCATGGTCATTCTTTATCTAGTATGAGGGGCAAATCATTTCAAGTTGTCTATAAAATAAAGATTATAGTATCCACCCACCTACTTCAGAGGCATTAGGAAGACTCAAATATAAATTAAGATTTGTAAAGTGTGTTGAGTTTTTTAGATGGAAATACCACGATGTTATATACCATGCTCTATTTTTAATTGATTAAACAATGTGGAATGATTCTATTACTGGTTTTTTTGAGATGATTTTGAAATATTTTTAAGAGCATTCTGAGTCCTTGGAAAGAAACCATTGGGGCTCTGTTACTGCTATTTGAGTAATAATCGTAGATTTCGACTGCCTTCTTTGTGTTCCTCACAGGCAAATACGTGTATCAGCCTATGACCCCCGTGGAACAGCTTCCAAGCACTGAGATTCCTGCGAAGCCTCGGGAACCCACAAACACCATTCAGATCTCAGTCTCTCTCACTGAACACTTTCTGAAATTTGCATCTGTCTTCCAGCCTCCCCTCCCTCCTGACTCACCAAGGTACTGTATGATCTCAGACCTCTTTATTGACAACTATCAGGTTAAATGTATCAATGGGAAGATGTGTTATGTGCAGAAGCAGCCGGCACCACAGTCGCACAAAATGAGCCCTCAGGAGGTCTCTGCACACGATGCCTTAATTTCAAAAGAGAGCAATACACCAAAAATAGATCACTGCTCTTCTCCCTCAAGTTCTGAGGACTCTGGGATCAATGCCATTGGGGCTCACTATGTGGAATCGTGTGATGAGGACACAGAAGAAGGAGCAGAACTGAGTTCAGAGGAAGATTACAGTCCAGAGAGCAGCTGGGAGCCGGACGAGTGCACCCTTCTCTCCCCGTCGCAGTCTGACCTGGAGGTGATTGAAACGATAGAAACCACCGTGTGAGAGTCAGGGCAGGAAGCCGCGTCCTCTGAGCCAAGCTGAGCTTTTGTACTTTCGTTGGCTGGATCATTTTTCCAGTGCAGTTGGTATTTTCTACCCCTAACAACCATAGCAATTCAGTGGTCTGCTGATTAGCCTCCCTCCTAAATTAGTGTTGTAACTATGATATTTGTTTTCTTTTATATCTTGACTTATTTTCTATGTAGCATCTGGTGTCATCAAGTGTGACCCAGCCTTAATTTCACTGGGAACTTTGTACGCGATGAAGTACTGATCACCGAATATGACGGACCAAGTTGAGGAGCTACCTGAGTGAAGGAGACAGTACGTTCTAAATACCCGGTTCTTCACAGAAAAGCTCTTGCCGTTCCTTTCAGCATGCCGATGGGCGCCCCTCCTGGCCCGCCAGTCCCACGTGGGAATTAGCTCCTGGGAAGGGAGCAGTCTGTGCCCTGGTAGATGCCATTCTGTCCCTTTCCCCTTCTCCCCACCATCTGCATGGGTTGGGGCCAGTTGCCTGGCTTCTAGAAGGGTAAGGGGGTCCAGCTTGGCCACAAGTTACGGCCAGTGTCTGCACAACCCGCCATGACCTGGGCTGAGCTAGACCTTCATTTAAGAAGAGATGGCAACTTCAGTTTCATGTTCAGTCCAGCCTTAGCCGAGCGCCTGTGCTCCGTAGTGTGCTGTGGGGAAACAGAATGAGTAAGACCTGACTCCCCACATCAAGGGAATCATAGTCCAATAGTGGAGATACTACTTGCAGGCAACATTACCCAGAATGCTCTGGAAAGCCAGGGGAAGGAGAGATGTACTTGGCTTGTGACTGGGGAATGTGTTGCAGCATTTGGGCTGGTCTCTTGGGTGAGTTTCCTAACATTTCCCTGTTTTTCTTAATTGTTCTTGAAATCAGAGAAAAACTTTTAGGAAGTTATATAAGTATTATATTTAGTAGGCAGCCACATCTGATGTTTTAAGAAAATATCAGTAATAGTTTTAGTTAGCATGGAAATGCTAAAGACAGCAGTCCTTTAGGGATTAGGAATGAATCTAATAGGTTTGATGAATTTGCTTCATTTGGTTGTATGAAGCTTTCGAATGGCTTTAGGTGAGAAATGGTTTAGAATTCAGTATGATGCATGGGTTTTTATGCAAATGCAAAAGCAGTTGAAATACTTCACTGCTAAGTCAGGAGAAAATATTTTGTGTAATATTCATTCACTTTACTACAGTAATATTTATGGTCTGTTGTACATGTTCTGTGTTCTCACACATGCAAAATAGTGAGTAATTCTTTCCTATTTAGCTCTCTTCAGATTCTACTCCTAATCTCCTTTTTCACCAGGTGTTCTTGTGTGAGTTGGTTATCTGACATTTCTCTAAATCTTTTCTCTGTGAGACATAGCTAAGAATCCAGGAAATTTAACATATGGCCTAATGAAACTCAAACTATCAAAGTTGGAGACAGAGAACTAGTCCTTATACCCTAACTATCCATGCGGGTGCTCTTGAGGCCTGGCCTCCTGCTCCGTCAGCATCACGGCGCCTCTCTTCTGTGCTACGTTAGTGTGCATTTTAAAAGCAAGAAGAGGCCTGTTGTGTTCTTCTCTGAAACCTCCACTCAGCTTCTGTCACAAATCACTCTAGGCAGAACCTGCTTTCCTAGTTGTATGTGTAGTTCAAGTGATTGACTAGGACACTCTGTTAGGTTTAAGTGCCCGAAACATCCATAGGGTTTTGAATGCAGAGTGTGCATGTTCCTTTGAGAACAGTGTTAGTTAAAACTATAGTTTCCATGCTAGATGAGAATGCAGAATAAGGTTCCCATTACTGAAATGTGAGGACTCAGCAAGTCAAACCAATAAGGTGGTGAGAACAGCTACAGGCACAGGAGAGGGCAGGGGAGGTGGAGGTGCAGCGAGGGGCTTCCCCACCGCCCGGCCCAGGTGGCTTAGGGACAGACATCTGCTGCGCCCTGCCTGAGGGCCTCAGCGCCTCCGTGATCACGTGGCCAGCTGATCACGTGCAGCGAGCTCGGAAGCGCTGCAGTCAGCCGCCGTGTATTTGAGGGGGTAACGGCAACATCAAGGCCCAGTCTACGTCCCCCGCCCGACTCCATGAGTAAGCTCGTTGGATTCCCCGGTGTGCATACAAAGGGTCTTCCTTCTCTGTACCGTCCCTACCAGTTCTCTGCTCTGGGCCCACATTCCTGTCCGTTAAACTAATTGGAGTCAACCACAAGGTCTTTAAAGCCATGGAAATACATGGTCACAGGGCCACAGTTCTGAAGCTGGCTGCATCAGGGTTGGGCCCTTTATCAATAATATCTATAACTTTTCAAACTCTTGAACTGCCATTCAGAGTAGCCACAATTTTAATGGAATTTTTGGATTTAATAATGGTTGATATCACTTTAAATATTTGCACAATCTCTTTATAATTAAAAACTCACTAAGCTTTACTTACTACTATTTTATAGAATTGGAGATGTTCCATTGGATTCTAAATATTAGATGCTCCTGGATCTCAAAATAACCTTTTCTAAACAAGCACAAGCAAGAATTTCTTTTGTTCTAGCATTGTTAATATTAATAATTCTCTAGAAAATCATATATGATTGAACCAGAATTTTTTTTTATGCTTGCATTCCAAAACAACTGATAATATAAAAATGTATAGTTTCAACTTAAATTCTAGGGCTGTTCTGTTCTATATTATGTAAAAGAATTTCTCTGTAATCCTGATATTATATTGCTCATTTGTATAAGCATATTTATAGGCACTTTAGAAAATGTTTAGATGTGTATTATAGACATCGGACATAGTCATGTTAAATAGCCCTTTGGTTAATGCTTGTATGTTGAGAGATAGGAAAGCTTTAGAATTTGGACCTGGTAGTGTGCTCACTTGGAGCAGAGAGGCTTGGGCTGTGTAGATGGAGAAACTGCTTTCTTGGGCTTTTGTGTAAACCTAGCCCCATTCCTACTTTTTAAAAGTTAGTATAAAGCTGTTAGGTAGAAGTTACAAAATAAGTGCTGTGTGGAATTTAGCTTTCTTATCTACCCAAGATTTACTTTAGAATTTTCAAGTTTCAGATATGCTTAACTTTTCTGAGAAATGACAAAGCAATTAAAATGCTTTGTGGTTGTAGTTAGTTGGTAGATTAACAAATAGGGCTTTACCATCAAATCTAGATATATTTTTTTAACCTTGTAATTTTCAAGATTTGAAAAGAGAATTTGAGGGAAATCCTGAAGAGAAAAGGTTGCTTTCCTGGAAAGGGAGAACTTGTAATTTATGGTAATACTACACAAAATAAAAGACCACTAAAACCAGAACCAAACCAGAAGTTGCCCTGAAGTACCTTTAGGATTTGATCTAGGATTTAATTCTGTCTTGGGGGTGGGGTTTTATTTCTTAACCTCCACTTCCTGGCCTGTTTGAAACATCACACTTCTTTTGGAATGGATCATAACAACTCCTTTTATGCAAATGTCTGTATTTGGGTAATACGATGTAACTAGATAATTTAGAAAGCTGTCAAAAATACCCAGATATGTTCGGTGGTTTAAATGCTACTAGGCAAGAAAAAAGGCAGAAGATAAAGTAACATTTATACAGTTGGCTCTTGATTATTCCATCTTGTTTGCAAAATCTTATTGAAGTATTTTGGCTTTTTAAATGAGGAAAACACAATTTTAAGTCTTTCCTATCTCACTCTTCAAAGGAGCTGTGAAGCAAAATTAAAGAGGTCAGTTGTATTTTGGGTTTTTTAGAAAGTAATATGTGGCTAGTGTCTTGCCCTCGAGGAGCAGAGGAGGAAGTGGGAGTTCTCAGTTTATCAGGGATGCCAGGGATGTCCGTATTTCTCGTATCCAAACATAAGTACAAGGATACGTCTCAAAATTAATTTTGGAATTATTTACCTTTTAAAAATTTTGTATGTCCCTAATCCCTTTCAATATTATGGATAATTGAGAGTTGACTGTATTAGGAAAGGGCCGTGTTTCTGTTAGTGCTTTGAGTTCCCTTTTCTGTTAAGATTGGCACAGTTCTCTCCTACTACTCTGAACAAGTCGGAAAGCGAATCATCACCAGAGGTTTTAATATTGCGCTTCCATATCGTTTTGTTCATACACACTTTTTTAGGCTGTTCATACCTTACAATATTCACTTACTATGCTATTTTTTAAATCTTGTCTATTTTAAAGTTTTAAGCACAATGTTGACCATTCTGTAATTTCCTAAAATTATATTGTTTCCCCACAGACAGCTCAACTTTCCTCTGTGTATAATACTTTAGGAAAATAACTGCCTTGTAAAATAAATGTGATTTTTTTCTTTTGTACTAGCACAAATTTGTTACTTTGGAGTATTCTTTCCCTGAAATCCCCCCTTTCAAGAAGTTCTGAATTAAATAACAACATAATGAGCTAAACAAAACAAAACTCACATTTGTAAAATGTGAAACATTTATACTGCATGCTTATATTGTGCCAGGAAATAAGCAGTTTACATTATTATCCCATTTAAACTTTACAGAAACTTCACGAAGTGCAGGTAAGTGTTGTTACACTATGATATGCCGCTTGTGGTAACTCCCAGAACCCTTTGTAGTGGGAACTTTTTTGTTGGCTACATTAGGTTTATACAAATAACACATTCTCCCACAAACAGTATTTCTTTTACACAAAGAAATACTGCAAGCTTTGTATTTAGTTCATACATGGCATGTAAGACAGTTCAGCCACAGGTTCCTGGTCCAAACTGCAGGCTGGCAGCCCAGGAGCTCAGCTTCTACATTGAGCACGCTCGGAAAAGAACAACTTGTGGAGTTGACTCTTACTGAATAACCTCACTGAGATTGCTAAGTAAGTTCTTTTATTAGTCATAGTAATAATATCATTGTTAGTATTATTAATAATTATAGCTCAACACCTACCTCTTTGTATGAATAATCCTCACAGCAACCCCATTTCACAAGCCAGGAAAAGCCGTTGGGAAGTAAGTATTTTTGCCCCAAGTGGCACAGCTTGTAAATAGTGGAAGACAAGATTTGAACCCCATCTCTCTGACTCTAGAGCTCACGATCTTGGCCCCTGGCCTGTGTGGCCCCGCCGCACCTTCCCGCCCTCAGTGTCCTTCGAGGCTGAGTCAGGCGGGTGCTTGGTGAGCCTGGGAGGAGGGTGGCAGGGCTTCCATTGCTGCCCCTAACCCGGCGACCCCCTTCCCGCAGGCTGGTGGCCCACACCTGCCCCAGGGTGCTGCCTTCCAGGAGGTGTTAGAGAAGCACCCACAGGCTTCCTCCCTCTCTCCCCCTTTTCTGTGCTCCATACAGACCTCCCCGCCTCCACCTTTCTGCAAATATCAGTGCTTTGATTAGGCCATTGCTGCTTCCATGTTTAATCACATCTTGACTGGCATTCAAGGCCAGCTCTTTCCGCCTTCACAAAAGACAGCTTGTCTTTCAAAGTGACTTCTTGCAGACAGCTCATCTCATCTACCGTGTGTGCATTCTACTAATTGAACCCTACATAATTGTATTGCCAAGTTCTAGGAGGCATTTCATTGTAGCCTCTTACAATTGCTGACTACACACACTTTTATTCCGCAATAAACTTTAATTTAGCCTCTCATCCTCATTACAGTTCAATCACTGGGAACTGGTAATGCCTTTAACCCTTGGTGTGCCACCCAGTGCCGAGCTGACACAGGGCTGTGGGGAAGCCAGGAACTGGGGACTCGGGTTCGCCACGGCGGGGTTCAAGCAGAGGCAACTGGAGGCCAAATGAAATTCTTCAGGAACCAGGCAGACAGGGGAATTGGACAGAAATTAAAGTAAAAAGTGAGGCAATGTAAATATGCCCAGATATTAATGGTGCTTTTGTTTGCTTTTTTGAATTTTCCTAGTTTTCTAATATTAATTGATAGTACTTTGTAATGGGAAACAACCGCAGTAAGGCGCGTTGGAGAGGAGTCCTGGGGCAGTTAGTGCGGGCGGAGCCTGGCTTTGCCGGCGTCGGGGATGGAAACCCAGAGCCCGCAGGTGCGGGCAGCAGCTCACCCGCTCATGCACCCGCTGGACCAGAGTAACGGCAGGACTGCGGGCTGTGGGTCCTGGACTGACCGGCCTCCACCGAGGAGCGACTCCATTTCCAGACTTCCAACCACGGCTGGAAAGTTCTTGGGCCATTGGATTGGAGAAAGGAGAGGATTTGTTTCTTACTGTCTCAGTCCCTATCCTGAAGCTCCGCTGGGAATTTGGAGATGGGAGATCAGAAAGCTAGGGCCCTGGTGGGGCATGTTAGTCCTCTGTGACACTGAGCCTGTTACCTAATGCAAACCCCAGATGACTGATCCCAAGAGAAAGATCTGGAGTGTCACTGCAAGACGGTGACAGAAAACACAGGATCAGCAAAGCACCACACGCCTCAATGGGGACTCTCCAAGCATTTCCCCAACTTGCCTGCCATACCCAAGACACTAGGGTAAGCAGAACAGGATAATTTTGGGAGTTCATGGCTGAAGCAACCAAGAGCTAAGCCAACTATTAAAGCGGGTAGGTCAGTCACACATGGCAGGTAAGTAGCAGAGCCAGAGCCAACATACCACTGATTCCCAATCCAGCTGGGGTTGCTTCATCAGCTCGAGCCTGTGCAGTCAAACCCTGCCCTGCTGCTCCTCAGGCCTCCGCCTCCCTCACGTGTCTCTTTCCTCCCCACACCTGAGGCCCGGGGCTCCCTTGCACACGTAGGCCCATCCCAGACTGAGACCAGCCCCGGCAGCGCTATCTGCTCTGGTAGACGTCAGGTCAGTGTTCAGCCCGAGGCGGGGCGGTGGGGGTAGTGTGATGAACAGAAAATTTAAGGGGACCTCTGGGGTGCTGGTCATTTCTATTTGCTTATACAAGTGTGTTCACTTCGTGAATTAGTCCAGCCATACACACGTGGTTTGTGAGCATTTCTGTTCATAAAAAGTTTACTTAAAAAAATAGTGATTTTAAAGAAAATGTGGTGATACCTATAATAGCACTGTGCTGCGGAGTAGAGAGAAGATAATCCTGACCTCGGGAGGGTAGGAGACAGGAAAACATCCACCCGTGGAAATAAGGTGAGTCAAACATTTGCACTTTACTTTGGTAGCTGTGGGAGGCTTCACAGAGCATCGGGGTACAGAGGAGACCAGTGGGCGAATGACGGTCGGGGATGCCCCAGAGGGGGCGCCGCGGGCATGAACCCTAATGCAAGAGGCTGCCCACGGTGGGAGCTCAGCAGTGCTGACTCCCTGGAGCCCTGGAGTTGGCCCTAGGCTGCCAGGGGTGGTGCACCGGGAGGCCTTCCTGCATCTCTGGGCACATCCCAGGCATCCGATTGTGGAGAGGCACCTTTGGAAAAACATTTTCACCAGGCAGAGCTGTGTAGGATTATACAGCTTCTAAAAGGATCCGCAAAGCTCTGAATTATTTATTCACTACAGCATTCATCATTGATGAGGCCCTTGTTGGCTTTCTCTTGCACCAACCCCTTCCTCCCCCTCACCGTGGTAGGCTTTGGTTGGAAATGTTACTTTGTAAAGCATCTTCCCACATGTCACTTGGACTTTGCTATAGATGGAGCAGATCACTTTATTTTTATTTTCAGAAGAGCAAACAGCCTGCCTCAGCTCACATGTGGGTCAGGGGTGAGGCTGTTCCTAGAACCCGTGGCTCCTTCCAACTGCCCATTCTGCCGCTGGTGCACAACTGGGTGCATCTCTGTGCCCCTGGTGGCAGGAGGGAGGAGCAAGTGCAGGCTGTGTGTGTGTGTGGGGGGGGGGTATCCGGCTGAAGCTGGGCGTAACCATGTTTTCACGTCCATTCAGATGTTTGACCAGGTAACGAAGCTGTGACGGACACAGTTGTGTTTGGCCCCCCAGAATCCACGCCCGGAATCCTCTTGTCAGGGCCCTGATTTCCTTTCAGAGGATCATCCCTTCCACCCAGGGGGGTAGCAGGGAGGAAACATTCAGACCAGGCACCTGCCCTCCCCAAATGGTAGCTGAAGGGTCTCTGGAATCTCCCCTCCCCCAGAGCCTTCCTCTCACCACCTGTCACAGTCCAGGGGTGAGCATGTGACTAGAAAAGCAGCTGGAGCTCAGCAGCAGGGCTGGAGTGGGCCCTCGGAGCTGCCAGCTCCTTACAGGGAGCCCCGGCTCCCTCAGTCCTCTCTGTGGCCAAGTCGGCAGAATGGCTGTTGTTGCTGTGTCTAGAGATACTTCCATATCAGTCTTTGCCCCTAAGGAACGGCTTTGAAGCAGGACCCGACATCACTGCAGACTAGAAAATGTGCTCAGTGCCACAAGAGGGACAGGGCCAGTGGCAGGGATTGGGGTGCAGCTCAGGCCTGCACATCTCCAGTGCCCAGCACGTAGAGTTGGCTTCTCATCTGCCCTTCGGTAAGACAAGAAGGCTCTTCAAATGCACTCCCGAGTTTCCGCTTAGGAAGGCATGACCTGCATGTAGAGCCGTTGTAATGCGCTCAGTGGGGCTGTGACTTGAATGACAAGTTAAAGCATTCCTGGGATCTGATAAAACAGACGGGCTGGAGGAGAGTAATTTGTTGGTGTTGACTGGCCCTGATTTGAGCAGGGGTTTCGATGCTCAGTAAAGTGTCTTAGTTCATTTAGACTATAGAGTGAAGGACAATCACCAAGATTGCTTTGAGAATACCAAACTCCTTGGCCTTAATTTTAACCTCATCAAGAGATCTGACCTGTAATTTGGGGAGGTACCATCTTGGCTCTGAGTTCAAATCGCTGCTCTGTCGTTTCTTGAGTGTGTCTCGGTTAACTGCTCAGGTCTGAGCCTCAGCCTTCTCATCCGTAGAATGGGATTGAGACCATCTCCTGTAGCTGCAGCCTGCGCCCAGTGGTGTTCACTTAATGCTCAGCCGCGTCCTCCCATCTGGCCTCTGCCCAGTTCCGGAGGCAGCAGCCTGGGCAGCAGGTTTGGGGGGAGTTACACACCTCAGGGGTATTGCAGGGCTGGTTCCTGAAATAGTGTTGCAATTAAGTAAGTCATCTTTTTGCTGGTGGAAGGTTTTACCTTCAATTTGTAAAGAATATAAAACCTGTGAAGTGCAGGGAAGTACAGTAACGTGGTTATAATCAAAGCTAAGCTGGTATTTCAGGGGTGTTTACATATGCCTGCATTGTTTCACTTTAGTCTTCAAAACAGTTTTATTTTATATGAAATTGAAGCTTAGAGAAATTAAGTGACCTGCTGCCCAGGATCACAGCTAGTATGTGGCCAAAAGCAGGGTCTACTGTCTGT